CTCCCTGACACAGCTCTCAGTGCTCTCCTCATTCTTGTGCGATTTGGGGTTTTTCCTTTGGTTCCCCAACTCCAAGGAGGAGTGGAGAAACTCCAACCTCAGATGAAAAAAGCCTGGGAAAAGGGTTTCCAGACCCTTTTGCAGCTAAGCAGAACTCAGGTGAGCTTCCTTAAGGAGCTGATTTCAGCTCAGGAAGCTGAGCTGAGCCTAGTGCTGTTGTTGGGGGGAACAGCTTGGAAATGGGAGCTCCCTGTCCCAGGGGAAGGGCGGGAGAGGCAAAGGCAGCACCTCCCACATCCAGTGGAAGAGAAGGAAGTGGGAAACAAACACATTTGAGGCAGCTGTGGATTCCTCGAGTCGGAAGATAAGAGACACCACCAGAACAGGCACCGAGGGGAGCAGGACAGGAGCCAGAAAACAGCTGGAGCTGGGTCAGGGCAGCTCAGGCTGAGATCAGGGAAAGGCTCTTCCCCCAGAGGGTGCTGGCACTGCCCAGGCTCCCCAGGGAATGGGCACGGCCCCGAGGCTGCCAGAGCTCCAGGAGCCTTTGGACAGCGCTGCCAGGGATGCCCAGGGTGGGGTTGTTGGGGGGTCTGGGCAGGGACAGGGGGGGACTCCATGGTCCTTGTTCTATCCAGCTCAGCATATTCTGTGATTCTGCAATTCTGCATGGAGCAAAATGCCTGGAACACTCCTGGGGACACAGCCTGCTGTGGGCAGTGGACAGAGGCTGTGCCTCGTTGCCTGCCCGTGATCCCTCTGGCTGCCCCTGTCCTGCTCCTGGTCTCTCCCAGTCACCTGCTGGGTGTTCCAGCAGGGCTGACTCAGCAGCTGCAGCCACGAGCTCCTGCCCCATGGTGCCCTGTCACTGCCCAGACTCAGAGTGTTCATATTCCAAAGGTTTGGAGGGGCTCTGGACAGGATCAGGGAGGGATCCTCAGGAGCACACAGCTTGTACTCAAACTGCCTGAGCCACAGGGGTCAGAGCAGCTCAGTCCTTCCTGATCCATGGCCAGGATATTTTCCTAATCCATGGCCAGGACATCTGCTGAAACAGGCCATCAGGTGGTTTCTTTCACGTTGCATTATCCCTCTCTTGCCTCCAGCTTTGATGGGAAAGGTCTCGCTGATGGAAATTACATCAGAGCCACAGCATCCCTCCATGAAGGCTTCATCCTGGTGAATCACAGTTATCCATTAGCAAAAGAAAAGAAAATCTTTCAAAACCAGTTGGATGAAATTCCTCTCCATAAAATCTGTCCACATCAGGTGTTGTAGCTTGGCTGCAGAGATGGGGTCCTCTGGAGTGGGGGGCCACCACACCTGTGTGCCAGGGACCCCATTCAGGATGGGACAAATCCCCACCTGCACAGGCCTTTGGAATCCACTTCCCCATCCCCAGGCAGAGGAACAGCCCCATCCCCTGTGCCCGAAGATGGGAAGGAGGAAGGAGGGGCAGAGGATAAACACCTTTCCATGTGACCAGGACAAGGAGGGGCACAATCACCTTGGCAGCTTGGGTTGTCCCTCCAGATGGACCTGAAAACCTGGAAGCAGGGTTTCTCTTCTGGTTCTGCTCCTGCTTGGAACTACCAGCCAACAATCCATGGAGACAAATTCTGGAGAATTAAGGATGAACACAGTGTGTTCCCACCACTGCTGGAGGACCTGTGATGTGGCTGCCTCTTCAGCAGTGCCAGGGGTCTGGTGGAGACAGTGCCAAGGGACAGTGGGTGCTGAGTGCTGCAGCTCTCTGGTGATGATGGGGAGCCCATTCTTCCCGGGGCTCCCATCCTTCATCCCTCCTGGTCCTTACTGCTGCCTTTGTCTCTTTGATTTCATTGCTGGCATCAGTGACAGGAGCATAAAATCGAGTGTGAGTTGCACTGTGAGAAAGGAAGGGAGAAGAAGGATCCTGAGATGGGGAACAGCCAACAAGGTCCTGAGCCCTACTGGGTGCATCCCACTCAACTCAGAGACATCAGAGTGTAAAATAAGTCTGGGAGTATCTGAAAGAATTGTGCCAACTCCAGCAAAGCACAAAGCAGGGGTGAAACTCCCTTCATTTGAATTCCTTTCCTACCTCACCAATACCAGAGCTCAGCCTCTGGAAGACCAAGCTTCTACGGGAATTCCTACTGCCCACTGCATCCCCTTCTCCAATATTTGTCATTCTAATGGCTGTAAACACAGGAATTGGCATCTGGACAGCAGGAAATCTAGGAAATTAGCACGAGGGACTCTCCTGGGCTTGTGGCCAATGTATAGTCCTAGGAGCCACTGAAAGCACAGCAGAGCCGAGCTCTGGAAAGCGGGAATGGTGTCACTGGGTTGGCAGAGAACAGCTCCTGCTCAGGATAAGTGACAGGAATTCCTTGTCTGTTTTGCATTGTCCACAGGGAGCCAAACTCCCCAAGACCCTGCTTTGGGCAGGGCAAGCCCAGCTCCCAGCTCTGCCCTTCAGCTGCTGAGGAAAATGCCACAATGGTCTCTTTTTTTCTCATTTTTTTCTTTTCGGGTTTATCCTGAATTTTTGCCACCTGGTCTGGCTTCCTCATTCCCAAGGAGCAGGAATTTGGACCACAAGACTCACTAATTGCTGTACAAGGCAGTCACACTGAGCCTACGACCCAAACAGGAGGTTCCATCTCACAGCATCCAGCAAATCTTCCAGCTTTTCCATGGGCTTTGGGGCACTGCTGACCCAGCTGCTCTCTGCTCCTGAGCTTCAGATTCCAGTGTGGGTTTGAATCCTTCAAGAGTCTCGATGGTGCTTTTTGGGATAAGGCAGAGAATTCAGGACCTTGGGAAATCCTTCTGTGCTGGCGTGACGGGACAGATCTGAGCAGGAATGGCAGGAAGTGGCTGGGGAGGGCCCAGTCAGTGGCCTGTGAGTGTGGACAAGTGCACCCCAAACGGGGCACACACAGCAGGGCTGGCAGGGCTGGCCAGCTCACCCCAGCACTGTCCCAGCACAGGCATTGATTTCCTCTCCATCTTTCTGGCATGACAATGAATTTGCACCCAAACACATCTGGAGCCTCTGCAGAGGCTCATGGAGCTGGGCTGGCAGGAATGGGATCTGCTGGAATCCCAGGGCTGTCCTGCACAGCAGCTCCTGCCCAGCTGGCAGAGACAGGCCTGTCCCCATCGTGGTGACACGAAGGAAGTGTTCACTCCCAGGGGTCTGTGCCACACCTCTTTGGCAGCCCCAGGGATGGATTTGGAGACAGATCACAACTGCAGCACTTTGGGCACTCCCTGTCACTCACCCAGGTGGGAACTGGCTGTGGCAGAGGAGGGAAGAGCCAGCAGCTCCCCAGAGTGGGGCACAGACCCTGCCCCACAGCATCCCACTGGCCATCCAAGAATCCTCCTGCTCCTCCCCATGGTCTCTACTCCCTCTTCCTGAGCCATCAGGCCTAGGACAAGGCTGGAAGGAAGCCATGGCCCTGCTGATGGCCTTCACTCCTGGCTGGCCGTGCCTCACTCCTTCTGGGAAGCTCAGCACCAGTCCCAGGGCTGGGAACTCCAAGGGATGGTGCAACCTGAAGCCCCCCAGTCTGACTTCCATATATAACCCTGGAGCTCTCTTGGCACTGTGCCACTGCCCTTCTCTTGCCCCCACCCCCTGGCAGCTGTGTGTGCCAGGCTGCTCCTACCTTCAGAGACCTCCAAACCCCAGCAGGAGAGAGGGGCACAGGAGAATCTCTGTGCTTTGATAAGGAAAAATAGCCTCCTGATAAGCTCTGTGCCCAACCCTTCCTAGCCTGGCCCAGGGAGTGGCTGCAGTGCCAGGGGGCACAGCCAGCTCCACTTTATGGCCCACTGGGTCCCATGGGGTGGCATCCCCTGCACGTGGACAGCAATGGTTTATATTCTCAGCATCCCAAGGTCACCCTGGAGATGAAGCCAGTGGCACAGTGACTCCAGGGATGGGCACCTGAGCTGCCAGGCCCCGTGTTTCTGGGGAGAACCCTCCTATTTCATAAATCCCAGTACTGCTCCACTCGGGACCTACTACAAAGCTGAGCCCATCTGTGCACAGCAGGAGAAAATGGCCCTGCCCAAAGCTTAGGATTGTTTCTGACATTCCTCTACCCCAGCTCCGAGGGGCTGGGCCAGCATTTCCTGCACTTCTGATCATTCTGGAACCCGAATGATGCCAGGAGGAGGTGGGACAGTTTGCAGGGAAACAGGAGCATGAGCAGGGCATGTTTCACACAAGCAAACCCTTTGCTGGCACCAGTTATATGTTGCATAACCATTCAAAAATGCCTTATTTATCACTGTGGTGTTAAACGCTCAGATCACACTCCACATCCTTTTAAATCTTCAGCTTTTCAGCTGCTCTGAGTCCTTCACCCCTCGCAGATGACAACCACTTAGGAAAAAGAAATCTTTATTTTATAGTTTTTTTGTATACTTGTACACAAGTAAAATAAAATGCATATCTATATATACTGCAATCTTGTGAAGGGACAGGCAGCATTCTTTAACAAATGCTGCCTGTAAACGTGGTGTGAAGGATGGAATGGAGACGGGAAAACTGCAAGAGTCATCAACATAGGATTAAAACAGCATCAAATCCATTACCTCTGCAAATGGGAACCTGCAACATTGTTCAGTGAGATGGTGAGTTACAAACAGATTTTAGACATTCTTTTCAGAGCATTTCTTACACTTTTTTTTTTTTTTCCTGTAAATAAACCACATTTCTTTACCATCTGCTGTAGCAAAAGCTGCTTTGTGGGCAAGTGCAGTTCCGAAGACCAAAGGTATAATTCACAGGTTTCAGGACAAATAAATTATGTACATCTCAGTATTTGTCTTTTTTTGTTTTGTTTTTTGTTTGTCTGTTTTAATAAAGGCATCCAGTTAAGTTTTGTGTAACAAAGCTTTCTCAGGGTGGATGGGAGTCCTGCTTTTGTTTGCAACATTTATGGAGGTCAGCAAAAGTCGAGTATTAAAGTGTCATCAACCCAGGAAAAGAGTTAATTTTAGCAGAATAACAGTAAGCTCCACACCAAGGGGGGGATCAAAAGGCTTAGGCTGAGCTGTAACGTGGAGCTGTTCCCCTGCTGGGTGAGGCGGCACTGGGCCTTTGATCTGTTCTTTTTAGAGCAGCCCTGCCTCTTTTTGGTTGGGACTGTGGAAGGTTCAATGGGCTCTAGAAATTCAGGTCTCAACTTGGTCAAAGGAGGGTCTACAATGCTGGGGAAGGTCCCAAAGGGGGAATCGTTTATCTGCTTGTTGCTGCCGTTTTTGGAAGGGTCCGTCTCCATGTACTTGGGCCTAGACATGTTCTCCTTCTCCTTGAGGTGGTTGTTGGATGAGCGGCTGCTGTGGGAGGAGGGCCCTGCCTTGCCCTTGGCCTCGTAAATAAAGGACTTGTCCATCTCTGGCTGGCAGCACTTGGAGGAGCCGTCGCGGGAGCCCAGCGGGGGCAGCCCCGTCGGGAGCTTCCCCGACCTGGTTTTGGTGCTGAAAACGCTGGTGCGGATCTGGTTGAAGGAGTCCACGCAGCTGTCCAGCTCGGAGCTCTGCAGCCGCTTGAGGTCCCGCCCTGCCAGGCGAGGGGGCAGGTGGCACTCCAGCTCTGAGGAGGAGCCCTTGAACTGCTTAAACCAATTCCAGAGTGAGCGGGCCTGGCAGTCGCAGATCCACTGGTTGCCGTTGAGGCGCAGGTACTGCAGGGACACCAGGGGGGCCATGGTGTCCCCCGTGAGCACGGTCAGGTTGTTGTTGAACAGGTACAAGGTCATCACCTTGCCCAGGTCATGGAAGGCGCGCCGGTGCACCACGCTCACCCTGTTCTGGTGCAGCAGCAGCCGGTCCAGGTTGATCAGTCCGCGGAAGACGTTCTCTGACAAGCTCTTGATCTTGTTCCCGTGCAAAAACAGGTACGTGAGGTTCGCCAGGTCGATGAAGGTGTCATCCAGCAGGATCTGGAGGTTATTATCCTGAAGGTAGAGGTACTGCAAGGAGAACAACCCTCGGAAAAGCCCTGTGGAGAGCTCCAGGAGCCCGCAGCGATCCAGGTGGAGGGTGTGGAGGTGCACAAGCCCCCGGAAGGTGACAGGGTTGATGGATTTCAGGTTCGTGTTGTCGCTGAGGTCCAGCTCCTCCAGCTTGGTGAGCCCGTAGAAGGCCCCGGGCTCGATGAGGCTGATGTTGTTGGAGTGGATCCACAGGATGGTCATGTTGCGGCAGGAGGTGAAGCTGGTGGCCCTCACCAGGGTTATCCTGTTGTTGTGCAGGAAGATGCGCTGGCTCTGGATGGGGATCTCCGTGGGGATGGCTGTCAGCCCCTGCTGCTGGCAGCTGATGGTGATCTTGGGTTCACTGTAGCATACACACGCCCCAGGGCAGGACTCCACTTCTGATGGGATTTTCAAGCAAAGCACCAAAATCAGCAGTTTGCTTCCTGAGGAAGGACAGAAATAGGGTGGGAATTAGGCAGGGTCAAGGAGAGCGCTTTTCTCTGCAGAGGAACCTGAAATTCCCCCTCCGAGTGTGGCACCACCAACCACAAACAGATGCCAGGGCAGCCAGCGATTAAAATGTGGGATTAAAAATGGGATTCTGCCACTCAGCTCAAGAGCTGAAATCAATGTACACTTGTAGAGATGGAGTCCCAGTGCCTCCTCTGCCCTGCACCCTCAGGAGGTGAGAGAGAGGGATCAGCGCTTTGGATTTGCACATCCAACACCATCCCTGTTCCCAAGATTTTACCTGTGAGCAAAGGGACCAAATTCTGGGGCATTTCCCTCTGCCATGGGTACACCTGGCACAGCTCAGCCACTGGAAAAGCACCTGGGATGTGCCAGGAAACTCCAAATCCCATCCCAGCACTGCCACCAACTCCTCACTTTGCAGGGTCACGGAACAGCTCTTCCAAACAAGCAGGTGTCCCCACACTGCTCTCAAAACATGACTGTGACTTTCCACAAATAATTTTGCACTGATTTGATCTCCTGGGAGAAATAACTGTGAGACATTCTCAGAATAACTTTCAGGTCAGACCTGCCTGGAGAAGTCTCAGGGCCAAAATGATCCTTTCCTTCTCCTGCTCAAAATTTTAAGCCACATATTCCTGTTTCCTCTCTCCCCATATTTTTTTCCTTTGAACCTGTGCAGCCACCGAGGAAGAGGAGGAAACAGCAGGATTTTCCGTTGTGCTGTTGTAGGAGAAAGTCACATGCAAGGCTTCATTCAGGGATCCCCCCAAGTGTGCAAGGCACGTGTCCAAACATGCTGGCAGCGCCATGGGGCTGGAAAACCCCAGAGAGGAACAATTTTTTTCCTGGTAATGCCCACCCACTTCCCCAGGAGCTGGGCTGCACTGGAATCCCAAGGAAGCATTTTGGGTCGCCAAATTCCCCAGCTGGGGAGCTGGGAATGAGCCTGGAGGGAGAGAGCAGCACCTTCTCCAAAGGGACTTTGAGGGTTGCTGAAGGTCCTGCTGAGGGACCTGAGGAGAGCCAGGCTGTTCCCTGCTACTAGTGGGAAGGGAGGCAGTGCCAGCAGTGCTTTCCCAGCAATTAGCAGCCAGTAATTAGTCTGATTCCTCCAAACGGGAGATAAAATGAATGGACAGCAGCCAGAGCAGCGGGAGGTTCCATTTGGGAATGCCACGTGTGAGCAGGGACACTGTGACTCCTTCCCAGCTTGTCACAGCACCTCTGGCCCAAGGACACATCCTCCCCATTGCTGGGAATCTCCAGCCCAGGGACAAGAGCAGCTGTGCCTCTCTTGTGGGAGGGTTTTGCCTCTGTTGTGGGAGGGTTTTTCCTTTGAAAAACTCAAAACATTGTTCCGGAATGCTGATACCTCATTACAAAGTAAGGTGGAAAAGCAGAGTGCGCAAAGCCAGACAGGAAAAGCCCAGTGGAGCAGAATGGGATGAACTGGGGAGACTGGAGCCAAATCCAGCCTTGCAAATTCCCAGGGGGAATCTGAAGGCAGTGGCTGCACCTCCCTTAGAGCCTGGCAGGTGCTGACGTGGCCAGTGAAACCATGTCAAACACCAACAATAACACATTTAATCACACAGAAATCTCACCAAATCTTTACTGAAGGAATAACAATTGTAATAGCCGAGGTGGGAAAGTCTCCTTCCTGCAAGAACAGGCCAGGATCCCAGCTTTGGGTGTCAGTCTGGTCAGAACGATTCACCATGTGTGGTAAATAAATCTGATATGATCCAATAGTCCAATACAGGCAGGAGACTCCCATATATCATATTCCACAAGGGATAAAAACCCCAGCTCAGCATGCAGAGATAATTGGAGCCTGATGCTATCAGCTGCTGAGCAACCCTGCAAGGCAGAGTTTGAGTGCAGTGTTGTGACACATTTTGGCTGCCTTGTCATGTTTTGACGTGTCACGTCCCATTGCATGAAGCACAGTAAAACGAGACAGCTGAGACTCGTCGCTGCAGCCATGGCACACCAAGAGCAGCCTCCTGGGAAATTAAAACAGTGCTGGCGACTCTCTGGCCATCCCTCTGCAGCTGATAATGAGACCCTGTGGGCAGAGAAACGGGACTTTCTGGAGCCTCCCTTGTCAGCTCTGTGATTCGGGTGATGGGGCTGGGGGTGACACCGGAGCAGCAGGAGTCACCTCCTCATGCAACACCTTTCCACTCCAGTAAAACAGCTCAGACTGGGACACTGGGGCAGCATCCAGCTGTCCCCAGGCTGCTCCTGCCTGCCACGGCCTGGGGACAATCCAGCCACAGCCCGGGTGCATCCCACAGGCTTTAGGAATAAATGGGAAACAGCTGAGGGAATGCAAAAACCCATTCCCAAGTGAGAGGAGTCACAGTGACACCATCCCTGTCCCAACTCCTGCTAAGGACACGGTAAATCCATGTAAATCCATGTGTACACGGGGAGAGCTGCTGGCAGAGGTGAGCCATGAGCATCACCCTGCCCTGTGCCACCCCTCCCGACAGCTGAGCGGGCACAGGCGACCCACAGGATCTCTCTTCCCCTGGGAAGCTCCTGGGCCAGGCAGCAGGGTCCTGCCCAGCTCCTGGCTGTGCCCAGGGCTGGAGCACGGCGGCTCCAGGAGGGAAGGGGCACATCCTGCTCCCAGGCTCGGCCCCCCTGTCCCGCCCCGATGCCCCGAGGCTGCCAGCAGCGCTGAGTCAGTGGCACTGAGAGCGCTGCCAGCCAGCAGCACTGGGAAATTAATTACAGCAGGGCCAGGCTGTGCGCTTTAATTAGGGACCTGGTGTTCATGAGCTGCTCGGATTAGCTCCTTCCAACGAGACAGCTCCTGTCAATCATCCCCCAAAGCCTTTTTCCAGTGGCTTTCCCACCGTGCAGCCCAGGCGTGTCCTGGCTGATCCATGGCACAGCCCAGCCGCTGTCAGTCCCCAGCCGGGGCAGGGCCAGGGGGAAGGGGAGGAATGGATGAAGCCCTGGGAAGCCAAGGTGACCCTTTTGTCCCCAGCCAGGCTGGGTGTGCCATGACAGAGACCCCAGGGAATCTGCCACGGCTTTCCCTGCTCCTCCAAACCCTTCTCCAGTGACTGGTGTCCAACCAGCAGCTCTGCCTGCTCTCAGTGTGTCCCAGGGGACCAAGTGCCATCAGCCACCCAGACCTTGCACAGGGATATTTTAATTTGTTTTCCTGGAGCACTGGGTTCAGCTCTGGCTGTGAGCTCCTTACTTTTCCAGGAAAAACACCCCCTGCCCTGAGGTCAGAAGGACAGGAGACAATCAAGGCCAGGTTGGATGGGGCTTGGGGCAACCTGGGGTGGTGGAAGGTGTCAGGGCATGGAACAAGATAAGCTTAAAGGTCTTTCCCAACCCAAAGCATTCCAGGATTCTGTGACTCAGGGCTGTCAGGGAGGAGGGAGGTCAGAAGGTTCCCTGTCTGCCTATTCCCAGAACATGCCACACTCAGCTCCCAGTTGGGAACAGCATCCTCCCTTCACCTTCCAGATAAATCCATCCCGACTGCTGTATCTGCAGTGAGCTCCCACCAGAGGATGTGGATCCTCCACCTCCACCTCCAGCTGGACTCTTCCACCTCAGCACCCACCTCAGTGCCCATCCCTGAGGAAAGGGCTTCTGGAATGACACCCGTCCCCTCCTCTCTTAGCTGAGAAACCATCCCTCCCTCTTTCAGAACATGATTAAAACTTAACTCGAGAGTTCCTGTCAAAAGCAAAACATGAAAGAAATTCCAGAACCTGGAACCTTCAGTCCCTCCAAGACTTTGGCTTTGAGTTTAGCATTCGTTCTTCCAGAGCTTTCTTGAAAGCCAGAAATCTCCTTCAGTGAAGCTGCAGCGCTTCCCCTTTGCCATTCCCGAGTGTTCTGACTCATGGAACTGGAAGCAATTAAAGTGGGTCCATTATCTGCCTTTCCGCCGCTCCCCCCGGGCCATCGCCTTGTCAAACGTGGCAATTAGAAAGAAAAGGCTCCGGGGGCCTCCAACAGATGCTTTGCAAACTTTTTTTCAGGAGGCCAGAGCGAGCTGCAATGTGATGCCCTTTGCAGAGCCCGGCCTCTCCCCGCTGCTCTGCTCTGCGATTGATTTGGAGATATTCTAATGTGCCTTTCCTGCAGAGCAGGGTCAATAATCATCAGAATTCTCTGCTGCTCGGACATAAAGGGAACATTTTACAATACAAAGCCTTTTGCTGATGCACACAGCGTTTCGCCTTTGTTTATAGTAGGGACACACTAGAGCTGCCGAATTCCCCGCTCGGAGTGGGCATCGTTTGAAATTCCGTGGGCATCGTTTGAAATTCCGCCCTTGGCTGCTCCTGGTGCCTCCTGCCTCGTCCTGTGGCCAGAGATGGGGCTGTGCCTGTGCCACAGGGAAGAGGGCAGCGCTTTGATGCATTTCAAGTGGCGGTGGATCGAGAGGTCGGTGAGGAAGGACAATCGGCTCGGAGTAGTCTGGAATTTCCCCTCCCTTCTGCTGCGGAGAGGAAGGATGGAGCATGAAGGTGCAGCTGGAGCAGCTCCAGCTGGGAGCAGAGGATGGGGGTGAAGCTTTGCCACCATGAAACACCTGGGACAGGCATCAGAGTCCCAGCTGCGGGGCAGAGCAGGTCCTGCCACCCTCAGGCAGCTGAAGCACAACATTTTGGGGCTGAAGCAGGTCCTGGGACACCTCTGTATCTCCATGGCGATTTTGGGGTGTCAGACACCCCTCTCAGGTGGGACAGTCAGCGAGGTCACTGGGGTGGGTGAGCTCTGGGGTTCTGCATCGCTCCCCAGGCCCTGCTGGGGATCCTCCAGGTCCAAGGGGTGGAGCTCGAGAACAGAACACCGGTGATGAATCCTAGCAGCCTGAAAATAGGGAGCTAATTCCCTTTTGGGCACCCTTGGGAGCCTGAGACAGCCGGAGTGCTGCTGGCAGGCTTGGTGCAGCTCTGTGTGAGACCTGTGCCAGCCCCGC